TCTGTTTAGGGAAGAGCAATGCTGCAAAGACAGCAGAAAGGAGCTCCTGTAGGGGCTTCTACAGCTCAACCAGCGGAGAGGGCGGCGCTGGACAGAGATCTGACGCTGGATGAGTGTCAGGGATGCGGGGAGGCAGGACTCAAATGCAGAGTTCGAGCAACAAAAGAGACTTTAATAGTCAAAAAGGCAAAAGCAAAGGCCAAGGGGCAAAAACGCACACAGGAACCGGGGCAAAAATACAGGCAGGAACCAACAAACATCCAGGACAAACGACAAGGAACATCCGGGGCAATAGACAATGACGCGACAAGTAACAAGAGACACAAGTCAAGTCAAGTCAAGTCATTTTATTTTGTATAGCCCAAAATCGCAAATTACAAATTTGCCTCAGAGGGCTTTACAGTCTGTACACATACAACATCTGAATCTGAATATCTTGCCAACTTTACCGAACTATGGAGGAGCCTGCGCATATCTTGTATATCACATATCACATTCACTACAACCTAATTATTTTTTTTTTGATTCAGACTTTTTTCCCCGGTATTTTACAAATACGGTCTGCGAGCTGGACGCATTGCTCTTAATGTGCCGGTAATGAAGGTAAATTATGGTAAATTATGGTTGTAGCTGGTTGTCATCTACGGTCCACTACGATTATGGAAGGGGGGCCTTTGTTTTTTGACAACGTTTTATCTCATAATTTCGACTTTCCATCCCCTTTCTTTAGTGCGGAAATGGGCTTCTATAGTTGTGTGAATGCATCACTCCAGCCAATCCAAAGACGGGGTTTGTAACCAATCAGATGTAGATACCATGGTGACTGGCTCCGCCCCCTCACTGTCAAAAAGAAAAACAGCGAGCTCGTAGAAAACACCTTTGAACGCGAGCAGAGACTAATCTCGCGAGCGACGAAGTTCACGTTTCGCGAGGGAGCAAATTGCTCGCGCGAGACGGACTTTTGCTGGCGCGAGACAGACTTTTGCTCGCGCGAGACAGACTTTTGCTCGCGCGAGACGGACTTTTGCTCGCGCGAGACAGAGATTTGCTCTAGAATTTTGACAGTGATTTGCCGCCATACTACCCAGGGAGACCAGAAGCAGAAAACTACAAAATAAGACAGAAAATAAAACCACACCGTGACAATGAGCTGACAACTGCAGTGAACCAGATGGCTTAGGAAGGACTCCAGGAATTGATGGCCTATCCGCGTTCTGAAAAATTGTCGGTTCTGACTTACATTGTGTGTTGGTGGAATATTCTGAAACAGGATTGCTTCCTGTTAACTGCCAGCGGGCTGTACTGCCCAAGAAGGGTAACATGGCCCGTCAACTTCAGACCAGTGGCGCTGCTTTGCACAGATTTCAAGGTGCCTCCAGAGCCTTATCCAACAGACCACGAGAGTACTTGGAAGTCATTGTAAAAAGTGACCAAAGATACTGTATCCTGGATAACGCTTATATTTTATATTTTCCTTGTTCTTAATGTGCTTGATGTTGGTGTTGTCTCACTGCATCAAGAGAAGTATTTTGACAGGGTGAACCACTATCTATTTTCTGCACTGCAGAGAAAGAGGGTTCTGTCTGGGCTTGGTGAGGGTTTTTTGGCTTGGCTGGGTTTGTTTTATAATGGAACTGTTTGTATGGTGAAAATGGGAGCTGGGCTAAGTCGACCGATCCCTTTGCAGTGGGGCATAAGGCAGGGTTGTAATATCTCAGGGCAACTATACAGCCTTTTGAGCCTCTGTTGTGCAGGCTGAGAAGTCGGCTGGGTAGTCTGTCACTGCATGTGTCCTCCAGCCTCCAGAAAAATAAGTGGGAGGAAGGTGAGGAGAAAGTATGTGCTCGGTTCGCTAGGTGGAGATGGTTGCTTCCCCAGCTGTCATTTAGAGTTCTGGTTGCTTACAACTTGGTCGCCCTCAGGAGGCCTCATAGCAGAGATACAAAGGTCCGTCGTGGACTACTTCTGATCTGGCCATCACTGGGTTTGTGCAGCAGCTTTCCATCTACCAGTGGCAGAGGAAGGACAGAGTCTCATGGACATTCAGACCAGGATCGCCTCTGTCAGACTCCGGACTGCACAGAAGCTGCTCTATCTCTGTGGCCCCAGCTGGATGGACACTGCTCGACTGCTGCTGAGGAGAGATAGATAGTTGGGATCTGATAAGCAGCTCTTTCTCCTACAGCCTGAGGGAGTGGACTTGGCCAGGCTGCCGTTCTACAGCTCCATTCTGCTGCTCCGTTCTGCAGTTCTTCCGGGCATGTTTCTGTTGGAGGACACGTCTGTCAGACTGACTAACAGGTTTGCGCTGCACTGCCACAACACCTGAGAGCAGCTGCAGGAAACTGGGCTCTGTCTGACCAGTGGGATGAAGGGTGAATACAACCCCCCATTCTCCTCATTTCCCCAGCTCTGGGGGACTGGCAGGGAGGAGGAAATAAGCTGCTGACGTTCACAACGCCTAGACATGTTTCAGGCAGCAGGAAAGAAAACAATATATTAAATCTGCGTGATGGTTGTGAACTCGCGCTCGCAGGGTTGAAGGAGTCGAGGTGGACCGACTACTTTGGCCCTGGTTCTTCCCCAAAGGGCAGCTGTATGTGCTTGTATAGGCCGCCCGTTGAGAAACGGACAGCAGACCTCCAGTGGAGGGTTGTGCACGGTGCTATAGCCACAAACAGATACCGAGCACACCTGGATCCACACATTGAGGAGAAGTGTGATTTTTGCTGTCAGACTGAGATCCTAAAACACTTGTTTGTTCAGTATCCTCGGCTCTAATCTGTCTTTGAACTTTTGAAGGGATGGTTTCATGGTCTTGAGGAGGTCTCTTTTTTATTTCTATTTTTGGTCCAAAATGCTGTAAAAAAAAAAGATTAGCCATAATCTGGACAATGTATAGACTTTAAAGGACAGATGGACTGCTGGGAGCATTTTATGCAGAGGGGCAGAGATGGGGCTGAACCCAGAAGCCGTCCTGTCCGGAACCAGACCAAAAGCTAAAAAAAGACAGTTGTGATTTCAACGGAACAGTGCATTTTCGACCTGCGCAACTTTGGTCGTCTTTACGGGAGATAGCGAAATTTGAGAAAAAGATGAGTGAGGGCCGGGTGAGAAGAACGAGAGCTTAGTTCTCCCACAAAAGTGGGGGAGTGGATATATATATATTCTATGGAACTGTTCAATTGCTAAAATTGTTAAAATGTTTTTTAGATTCATTATTTGTAATTTGCTAAGACTGTCGGGTCCAAATGTGAAGCACAAAAAGGGAAGTTCAAGCTTTTACTTACTGTTAGTTTCGGAATTGAAATTTATTTGAACATACAGAAATGTTCACAGTTTATTCCCTATTATATTTTTTAAATGCAGCCCTACTTTTATTAAGTTAATTGAGAGAACACCATTTATATTTGCAGTCACACATATATGTTCCCTTCTTTGTTACGTGACAATAAATATTGTCAAAGAGTTTTTGAATCGTACTGAATTCTTTGTCGTGTATTGATTAAATGCAAATGTTGATACAACTCGATACCTCTTATGATCTTCCAGACCTTTGCTTCTAGAAACTGGACCTCTTTACATTGTAGTTTAATACCCCTGTTTTAGAGTGTGTTCTGGTTCCATTGCAATAGTGGAATAAAGGATTCTTTAAACCTCTCTCTCTCCCCCTTTCCCTGTCCATCTTTCTTCCTCTCTGTCTCTCTCTGTCTCTCTCTCTCTCTCTCTCTCTCTCTCTCTCTCTCTCCCTCTCCTTCTGCCTCTCCCTCCCTACCTCTCTAATACTATTTTCCTCTCTTCCTCCCCCCACCCAATCCCATAATTTGAAAATAGATTCCCAATGAGGGAATTGTTCGTGACGAAGCCTATCAATTAATAACTTCTTTGTTTGAAGGACAAAACATTCTGTCTCCTAACCCGCTCTTCCCTTCACCCATTTTGAAATAAAAGCCTCAATGATTGAAGCTCAGAATGAAGTTGTTTTGTTGCAATACTTATTGCTTTTTCAAATACAACTACTACTAATATTACTAGTACTATTAGTAGTTCTACTACAGCTGATATTGCTACTACTACTAGTATTTCAACTGCTGTTAATACTAAAATGACTCTTACTACTACTACTACTACTAAGTACTTAGTACTCCTAAGAATACTACTAGTAGTAGTGACACTGCGACTGACATTACTACTCTTTCTACTAAAACAACTACTACTATTTATATAGCTATAAATAAATCAACTACTACTAATATTGCTAATAGTACTAAAAACTGATACTACTATTACTATCACTACTACTACTACTAGTATTTATACTGCTACTACTAAAATACCAAGTAGTAGTGACATTGCAACTGATATTACTAATTGTCACTGTGTGGCTTTGTGTCCTGTTTTATTTAGTGGTTTCCTGCCTCTGGTGTCCGTGGTTTAGCTTCACTTCCTGCCCTGCCCTGCCATGTCCCTTATTGTTTCCACCTGTCTCCAATCACCTGCACCTTCCTTTTATTTAAGCTATGTGTGTCTCTTGACCTTTGTCGAGTCATTATGTTGTACTGTATGTGTTCTGGAATGGCGGTGAGAACCTGTTCCGTGGTTTCCCCCTAGGCTTCTTTGTTTGTTGATAGGTATTTTGTGAGTTAAATCTGCATTTGAGACCTGCTTCTGCCACCTTGCCGTGACACTACTAGTATTCATACTGCTATCTGTGCGGGTTACTACCATTGAAACCTTAATAACCATTCTTCTGTCTCACTTTGTTGTCCCATGAGCTCGGCTTAGAAATCTGATACTGTTTTCAGGGCCTACGCAGGTGTAGTTATCTGGCTTTTTCCACAGCAAATTGCAACTGCTCCTTCAGATTGCACATCAATTCTGTAAGGTTTCCACAGTCCTCACTCGGTCATACAACGCACATAGAGGATCTCTTGCTCCATCTAGTGGATTGATTGTCAGTTTTTGAATTTATCAATTTTAACCTCTGCTTTGCTTCACAGGGAGTTAAGGGGGACCAAGGACTTAAGGTAGAGTAATTTACTTTTTCATTATTCTTAAGTGTTGCAATAGTAGGAACAGATGCCAATACAAGGCGACTGTGGGTGAGTGGGGAGCACGGTCGTCCTCTAATCAGAGGGTTGTCGGTTCGATCCCAGGCTCTGCTAACCCGCATGTCGATGTGTCCTTGGGCAAGACACTTAACCCAACATTGCTCCTGTAGCAGCAACTACAGTGTGTGAATGTTAGTTACTGATGTGCAGGTGTCACTGTGTATGGTTCTCCTGTCATCAGTGTATGAATGGGTGTAAATGGGTGAATGATGTCATGTAGTGTTCAAGCGCTTTGAGTGGTCAAAAGACTAGAAAAGCGCTATACAAGTACAGTCCAATCTAAAGCCCCTTTGTTATGTTTTGTTTAGGACCAAGATTTTAAATGCTACATCCTGAGTCTAATCCCCTCCTGTAAACTGACATCAAAAACAACCTGTGTTTGAACCAACAAGAAGATCCACTTTTTGTTTTTTTCTTCTAGGGCTGTCAAAGTTACTGTGTAAATATGAGATTATTGTGGCTGAGATTAATGTGATGAAATATTTTAACGCAGTTAACTTTGTGTACTTCCGGTGAGCATTGACCTCTGATACCCCACGTGCTGCAGTCAGTTAGAACAGAGAGACCGAGAGTGTAGTTGATAGCGAGCTTTCTGCATTGGTAAGTAAAACAAACCGGAGGAATTCCTCCACGTGTCAAACCGAAGTGGGATGAGTGGCGAACAGACCAATTTTGGACTGATAGTGCCTGGAAAATTTTGCTAGCTGATGCTACTTCTATCTCAACATCTACCCTGCAGAGGACCACCACTGCGTTCCTAAAAAGACAGTAGTTTGGAACACGAGAGCACAGCAAAGTGGACGAGGACAGCAGGAAGAGTTTCTAGTTGAACATGTTCTACCTGGTGCAGTTCTGCCTCCTTGATGAACACGTGTGTAGTTTTTGTAGTCTTCAAAGGCATCACATCGTCTTAATTAGTAAAATGGAGTTGGCTCAAATAGATAAAACAGTGTTTTTTCAAGATGTCACATTTCTAAAGCAAATGATAACTCTGTTTTCATCTTTCATTTTTTTTAAAATATTTTGACCAGGACACATACAGTACAACATAATGACTTGACAAAGGACAAGAGACACACAAGAACAGACTTATTAGCTATACAAATTTTGCATTACAATTTTCATCAAAAATGAATAATGAGATGCTAAGTAAGGTCAATAGTAGCTGCCGCCTATTGATTTTTAGCTTTAACTTAGCTTTAACTGTTCTAGTCTTTATGTTTATAAAAGAGTAAACTTTTCGTTGCTTCCTCCATTGGTAAATTGTTTGGGAGGAATGGTAAATCCAAACAACAAAAGCATGGTCATGGAGACATGATGTATCTAGATTTAAGTAAACTTTAGTTCTGAACATTCATTACGATGGGTTAACATTAAGGTGCCTTACTTTCATTACTCATCTGGATGAATTCCTTCCTGTCCATGGATGACCCGAATGTATTTTCCGAAGATTTAGATCTCCTCTTGTCAATCTATGCCAAGAAGGACTGCTCTCTTTCCCCATGAGCCTTTGCTTGTCTTCTGATTTCACTGGTTGAAAGGGCATGGCTGATATCGGAGATTTATATTTTCATCTAATCTGTAGGGACATGAAGGAAAAAGGGGGTTTCCGGGAGAGAAGGTAAAGTAAAAGTCAAGCATGAAGTTTGTGTGGCAAATTGGCTACTAAAGTTATTAAGTGAAACACTTCAAAAGTTACCAAAAATCCATCATGAATTTAAGTACATGTGAGAGCATGGAATTCTACTGCATTGATGGATTCATTATCACAGCTCTTCTCACCCTGGCCCGTTTTCTGTTTTCAGCTGAGTTATCTGAGAGGTTTTACCTCGCAAGAATCCTTATAGTGCACATACAGTACTCTTCAAAAGTTTGTAGTCTCTTAGAAATGTCCTTATTTTTCAAAGAAAGGCACTATTTTTCAATGAAAATAACATTCAATTAATCAGAAATACATAGTGGTAAAGTGGTAAATGACGTTTCTAATGAAATATCTACATGGTGTATAGATGCCCATTTCCAGCAACTATAACTTCAGTGCTTGTGTGTGTGTGATCCAAGCCCCTCAAACTTCTGGGAGGAGCTTCATGAAGTGTGGGGTGATTTGCAAATTGAGATTTGATTGAATTTGTACATATTAACTCAACAAATTAACAGCTAGAATGCCAATGGTCTGCAATGCTGTAATTGCTGCAAATGGAGCATTCTTTGACGAAAGCAAAGTATGAACAAAATCATTTCTAATCTTATTATACTATATATATATATATATATATATATATATATAGTATAATAAGATTGGCTACTATATATATATATACATATATATATATATATATAATATTTTCTATTCATTCTAACTCATCAAAAGTGAGTTTTCCAAAATACAAAATTGTCTGCCAAGCGCAAGCCTGTTCTATATATCATCTCAGAGAGTTAACTGCCGGTGACTTTTGACAGAGTTTAATCAAATGTGCCAGGTAGAGTTTCTGTGGTATATCTGCATGGCACAAGTTATGTCTCCGGTAGAGTCAACCTCTAATTCTAGTTACGAGATCTGTTTCCCATGTGTTAGGGTTATAGAGGAAGACAGCAGTTAAGTTCTCAAATAATCCATTGTTTTCTATAACTCTTCAAAGTGGTCATGCATCTGAATGCAACCTTTCATTTAGTCTCTCTATATCACTTTGTTTTCATTCTTTTCAAAAATCCTAGCCTTTTTTGAAAAATCTGTACCTCTCCACAACACAATGGCGATTGGGTTTTATTTTAAATTAGATTTGTCCTTAATCTTTTGTCCAGAGCAAAATACTGCACATAACAATTTTGTCACAAATCCCCAGAGCCATAGTCCCCAGAGGAAAATTCAATGCACCATTTATCTTTGGTACACCCCATGAGCATTCTACTACTAGCACTCTGAAAAGATATTCCAAATATGTATAATACTTTAATATTCATGGTCTCAAGAGCAAGAAACCTTTTTAAATGTTAAAAGGAAAAAGTGAATTCTGAATGAAAAGTTAGTAATTTCACCATAACATTTACCAAATAATTACCCCGAATACATCCCTAGCTCTGCACAGAACATTTTGAGGCTAGATGATTGTAGAGAAACAAGCAGAAAGGCAACTACCCATTCAAATAGACGAGCAAGAGGAAACGGGACCCGAAGACTGTCATTAAGGCAGAGCAGAATAAGTAATGTTACTTCAATGAACGGTTCATGGATACTTTGGCAGCAAAGGCTATACAAACACACAATTATACTTGTATATACATTATACTTACATGTACTGTAAATGTGCGGCTTCCTGATCCGGTGTATTGGTCATCAACAGAAATGTGCATTGCTCTGTACTTTGAAATGTGTATCCATGAATGCGTATCCATGAATGCATTCTAGTAACATGAACTTCCAACATGGATAATCCACATTGTGATAGTGGGGATGATCAAGAGCATATACTTCTTTATATTAAGCACAATCAAAGCCTCCATCTCCTACTGATACCTCGTCTTCTGGATCTTGATCAAACTTACTGCGATAGCCATTGAAATGGAAGCACCACAATTTTCAATACCTGATACATCTGGGGTATTAAAGAACATAATGCAATTTCACTAGACAAACTAAATATACTGAGTCTTGTTGTGAACAACTACTACCCTTGAGAAAAGACCCTTTCTAAAACTCACAGACAGAAAAACAGTGCAGAAATGCTGTTTGCAGTGTGTTCATTTGTCTTTGTAATCCTGTTGTATCTTTTTTTTTTATTATGTGACGACCCAAGTTATTAATGAGCAACATGTAGGGTAGTTATTAGATACCCAATCGGATCATGTGGTCATGACTGTTTTTCTTTCACTGCAAAGGGCCAGGTTGGTCTCCCAGGTACCCCTGGCATCCCAGGCAAGAGAGGCTACAGGGTAGGCCTGGAATGGAGTGAGCATCCTCACTGTCTGGTTGTTTGTTCATCAGTTACCCGTAATCCACTAGACGTGTGATGAATGTCTAGATCAGTGTTCTGTGTTTCTGACTGGCCAAAGCTCCAAATAAAATTGAATGTGCCTTGTTTTAACTGAACGTGTCCAGCTCTGCTTTCCCTGCCGATTGTTTGGGTGCTGTTCTCATTGGATGATACAATAACCCAGCCCAAATGACTGCTTCAGAATTAGAATTAGTTAGCTAACTTTTAAATGTTGCTCTGTGAAAGCCATGTCATACCATTAGTCATTTTTTAAGAACATACATACAGTATGAATCAAAGAATGCATGTAGTCTGAAAAGCAGAATGGAATGCTGTGTATATTGTGTGATCTGTGGTACTATATCAAACATGCTCAAGTAATCTCAATTTGTTTTCCGCAAGTTCCTTTTGTAGAACCTACTTTCTGTGACCTATCATCTTATTGGATGTAATAAATCTACGTTTTTCAGTCAATAATGAATTAATTATTCGTCTCTTTTTGAAAATAGTAACATTCCGTACTTCTTTCAGCAATTTTTTTTGTTTTCTATGTATGGCAGGGTGAGAGGGGACAACCGAGCATTGCAGGCCAGGGAATTAAAGGAGAACCAGGCTCACCAGGACGGCCAGGCCTGATTGGAATCAAGGTAAAAAGAAAAAGTAGTATTTGATGATAGATACCTGCATGTAGAGCAATCCCTCTATTGGTCATTATGAAGTAAATCTTTAACAAGAGCTTGTTTCTACGGAAGTGACTTTATAGTTATCTTACAGGGTGACACTGGAGATAAAGGAGAGAAGGTGAGATAAAACAGCATTATGGAAAGACTAAAGACGGAAAATACCACCCAAGTTGAGAGTGCTTATGGAGAATCAAAATGTTGTACCTTCGTTTAACCTCTAGGGGGATGCCGGCCTTGAAGGCCCAGCGGGACCAAGAGTAAGTTATAACTGGCAGTCACAATATCATTTTTATTGACACAGTGAACACAAAATGTCCAATTTATAGACCTTATGTTAATGATGTTGCTTTTCTAAATCTAATAGGGTCCACTAGGCCCAGCTGGTGAGCCAGGAAAGACTGACATCCAAAACAATGACAATGTATGTAAATCGTATATCTGCTACTTTTTTTACATGTATTTACAGCAAAGACTCAACTAAAGAATAATGTAACAATTAACATTCCTCCTCAGGATATTCGCAACATACCCCTGATGGTAAGTTCTTGGTTTATCATAACACTGTAAGTACAGAATTGTAGTAAAAGTTATACTTAATCACACATCTTCTTCCCATAGGGCCCTCCTGGATTACCTGGACCTTCAGGGGCCCCTGGGCTCCCTGGGACAAAGGTAGGAAACATTTTGACATTTGACATTTGCATTTACATTGCATGTAAAAAATGAGCTGCAATTTCTACATTCAGAAAAGATAACTATTTTGCATTTGGGTATTTTTTGTGAGTTAGTGTTTTGTGCATCCCAAAGCCACAAATATGGTCCCTACCCGGGCCCTCATCCTAATGCTAGATTAAATGGTCCAATATTTTTTTTAAATATCCTGACTTTCTTTGTTATGGTAATTGATTAAAAAGAAATTTCAGTTTTAGCATAATGAATTACATGAGTATAAAACTGAAATGATACAGGTGTTGAAACTACGTCAACCCAGGCCCATGCTCATGACATTGCCTAAGGATTCCTTCTTCATAGAACTAATTAACTTAAATTAACTGGGCTAGGGAGAAACGTTGTCACTTGGATTCAAGAACACGGTTTGTTGGACCCATTTCCGTCTGTATTTCTAAGTAACTAAGTAAGTCTCCCGATTTACGGAGCATTATTTTTCATGGATAGATACACAAGGATTTCTGGTTAATATCTACAGTGTGTTTAGTCTGTTTAGTTTGATCATGTGACAGGACTCAAATTTAGCCATAACAGTATAAGCACAACAATTGTCAAAACTGAGGAGCAGAGTGCATCTGAAAGCCCACTGAGCAGTAATGCCTTTCAAACTAAAGTAATTGGCTGCATCCTGATAGTGTTTCCTTGGGCATGTCCTAATTAACTTACTCCAATAGTGCAAATACAGTATTGCTCTGGCAAAGAAGTTGAACATAGCTCAAATTTTACAGCAAAGGGTCATCCTGGAAAGTGTCACGTATATCTATCAAACACACGTAAACCCAAGCTACTTTACCATGCCAATGTTAAAGTGGAAGATAAAACATTTGCCGCAATGATGACTTAAATACATCCAGTGTGAAAGTATAATAAACAATTGCCTGCTTTGTATAGTTGGTAATACAGCCTTGATATGTCCCCAGGGTGAAGTTGGTGTGCCAGGTCCTCCAGGACTGGATGGAGAGAAGGTATTCATCGTCATCGATACATTGTGATATTAGTTGATTGATAGCACTGACAAATGATGATTCAATTCCTGAAGTTAAATATACAATGTTAAGAAGTGCGTAATGATATCCAACCAGAGAATTTTTTTGTTGCTACTACTTTAAGAATGCAGGAACAGGAACACACAAATGTTAAAATCTCAAAATGGGTTACATTTGCATTTCATGATGCTTACCTGTGTAATAAATAAATGATACTTGAATCTTCATGTGAATTCAGCTTACGTGATCTTTTGTGTTTTCAGGGGCCAAGGGGAAAGCCTGGAGAGCCCGGTCCTGCAGGCCCAGCTGGTCCCGAAGGTCCCAGAGGCATGGGTGGTGTCATAGGCTTCTCGGGGCCAAAAGGAGACAAGGGAGACATGGGTTCATCTGGATCACCTGTGAGTGACTGTAAACCACAAATCACAACATATCACAGCCTTGCCTTGGGTTCCCTGACCAAAGCCCCATTCCTCCATCTGTCATTATCCTCAGGGAAGGCCTTCGTTTTCAAGCTGCCCTCTCATTATCTAATTAGAGACTCGCTAGCTTGAAAGGGACCCTAGGAATGGCACTGTTTTTTTATTAACTGTGGCATGGATCCCAAATGTGCCCGCTATACTATTTGTAGCCCAATGTTACTTTCAGAGCCTGTAACAGCAAGACGGGTTGCTTGGGGTGCCAGTTAGGTCTGCGCCTAACAAGATGTTTGTCAGGTTTGTAAGTCAATATTATCTTAGTCAACCGCACAAAGAGCTTAAGTAAAGAGAATGATGAACACCAATTCACTACCTATAGCTTGAACTCTCCAAGGTACATTTGCAAAAGCAAACGGTAAACGGCAAACGGTATGTGTCCAATTAAACACGTTATTGTGAATTAACAAAATAACCTCTCTTGGTAGGGATAGCAGAATGCTAAAAATCTTCAGTTATGGGTTCATTTATTAAGGGTGATATTTATTTTGCTCTTATGTTTTGTTTGAGCATACTCATAAGTGCATCAAAAGTGGTCTGATGTGTTTTTGGCCGGGCCAACAAAAAATGCAATTTGAAATGCAGTGCCTTCACAAAATCTTTATTTTGAAAATATATTATTGCTGAATACATAATTTTCTGATTTGACAAATTACTTCAAGGGCCCATCCCATATGGTTCTACCATGTACTTGGATTGTGAAGGCAAAGTCTGACACCTGTGTAAACATTGTATGAACATTTTTTGGGAATGTATAGATTATCCTGCAGGAGGATGGTAAATTACGGAAGAACTATCCAACTGCTTTGCCAGTTGAAAGTACCAATACAACAATACAAACAATTGTACCAATGAATCAATGAAATGCTTGATTACAAGTAAGTCTCTCAAAATAAATATAGATGAATAAAACATATTATATTTAATACAGTTGAATGTAACTAATCTATTATTTTAAAATAAGTAATGGTCATGTAGAAATAGACTGTGTTAGACCAAGACAACCGGTTTCTAACAATAAGACGTTGCTACCCACACAAGTACGAATGTTGTACATACAAAACATGATAGGACTATAAATGACTTATGTTCAAAACAGATGATATTATAAAAAAGCAAGCATTCAACATTTGTGAAGCGCATTAAATACTTGTTTATAAACAATATTTTGTAGGTAAAATATGGGACAATGAGGGCTGGTTAGTGTAAAGTTTTATTAACGGATAGTAAAATGTAAAACAATCAAACATTTTATGCTGTTACCCTAACATGAAGACAAAGTCATCTATAAAATAGAAATACTTTTATTGGGATGTTCTTCTCCACTCGGTTGTTCTGTAGGGTTTAGATGGCCCCACGGGTGAAAAGGGGGCTACAGGGGCCCCTGGCCCTACTGGATTACCTGGCTCAATGGTAAGCAATTGTAACCCTCATGCTGCATCTTTCTATATTCAGTGTCTGACCTGGCAAAGGGGGGACAGTAGAATATTTTGTCCATGCTGTGTGAAAAAATGTAATGGGGTCTTTCATTTCATTCACTTAATAGAGGATTACATTACCTAGTCAGACAAACTAACTCTTTACCATCTATTGTCACAGGGTCATAAAGGCGAACCTGGCGAAGGAGGAAGGTCACAAATGGTAAGTCATTAACCCACTGGTCAGATTTGATCAATTATTGATAAATTAGAGCACAACATGTTCTATGAGAAACATTCTCTGAATTGAAACTGTTTGCTTTTGTTTTTCTGTTCGTATTTAGATCTATGGACCTCCAGGGCCTCCAGGAAGTCCAGGACCAGTTGGCCCAGCAGTGAGTCATATATGCCATTCAACCACCGAACCTTAATACCAGGCCCCACTTAACAGACCCACACACACTCAAAGTGTTTCCAGTTCATTTGGCTGATTAGGCCTGAGTTTTAAATTTGATAGGTAGATTAGATTAGATTCAACTTTATTGTGATTGCACGGAGTAGAGGTACTGAGACAACGAAATGCAGTTTAGCATCTAACAGGTAGTGCAAGAGAGCAGATAAAGTGCAGAGTATATATAAATGTACAGTTTGAAATATACATGGAGCTGTATATATATTAAGCAGCAGGGTTGTAAATATGAATGACAAGGTAGTGCAAGTTGTGCAAATATGACATTATTGTGCATAATTGAAGTAGATGGTAAATGGTCTGTACTTGTATAGCTCTTTTCTAGTCTTTCGACCACTCAAAGCACTTTAACACTACATGACATCATTCACCCATTCACACACTGATGACAGGAGCTACCATACACAGTGTCACCTGCCCATCAATAACTACCATTCACACACTGTAGTCGCAGCTACAAGAGCCATATTGGGGTTAAGTGTCTTGCCCAAGGACACATCGACATGCGGTTTAGCTAGGCCAGGGATTGAACCGAAGGTTGTGTGTCAGTGGGAGTGGGAAGGCGTGGATTTCTGTGTGGGAGTCGAGTGTGGCAAACACACTCTGTAGTGCAGAGTCTGCTCCCTCTGGCCATACGTTGACGCGTAACCTGTGGTATGCACTGGTCAAATTCAATAATTTGCATTTAGTAAAGATTGTGCCAGTAATCCCATTGTATTTGCCCTACTCAGGAATCTCCAGGGTTTTCAGGGCCTACAGTCAATTTTGTTATAAAATCATATCTGTAGCGAGGGCATGACATTAACATTTTTGCTACATTTCATTAGCCACAATTTTTGTTGTTGGGAAATTTAGTTTAATTTAATTAAAGTTGACTACGTTTTGCTAGAATTTACTTTCCTCCTCCTTTCAAATGTAAATGACAATTGTAAACACCCAAATCAAGATGTATGTAAAGCTCATTTTAAATGAAAACGACTGATTAAGACCGAGTTGCTCATTGCATATAACTGGTGCAGGGGTATTTTGTTGCCCGTTTAGTCGCAATGCTTTTGACATGGACAAAGGAAATCTCACGGCCCTTTATTGTTTCCACTGTGAAGTTGCTTGTCCTGACTATAAAATAGACCCCTTAACCCACATATGTCAAACTCGTGGCCCACGGTCCAAATCCAGGGCCACCGGGGTGTCCAGTGCGACCCTGTCAGATGACTTTGCTGTTGTGAGAATTTCAGAACGTTCCTCACACATGTCTGGCCCCTTCTGCTTCTTTTATATCGATTCGTTTTGCACGGCACGGCCCCCCCGTATCGTTCGCACCACTGCGCAGCCCCCCATTCGCGCTCAACCCAGACGGCCGTATCATCCCCCACCGTGCAACACCCACCCCCATCAGTTGGGTTGTCAGCGCCATGCCTCCATATGATTTTGATGATTTTACCGGTCTGGCCCACAGTACCTGGCCCGAACCTGAAATGTCCTACAATCAGTACATAATTTTCTTGGCTGGATCATAAACCAGCCATTCTTGACTGGACCTCCACTTTTAATTGTCTTTTCTTTTTCTTTGTCTTTTCATCATTTAAGGTTTCATCATCAGTCTACCCTTTTCTGTCTGTAGCTATTAAATGCATGAAGGTGTAAGGCTGGGATTCAACTTTACTCTGTCCCTCAGGGAGAACCAGGATTAGGCATGAGAGGAGAAAAGGGAGCGTCGGGTCAGAAGGGTGACAAGGGCGACAGAGGCCATCTTGGACTTCCTGTAAGTATATTGTACTTCCTGTCAGTTTCATCAGTCTTATGCTGCCTTCACACCGTAAGCAAAGCAAATTTTGGAACACTTTACTCGCAAGAGTTTACTCACCCGACCAGTTGTAGTTCATTTGCCTTCATTCGTCCCATTTGTTCCGCTTCATCGCTCCTGAAAGGGGACATGGTTTATCTCTGTGACTTGTCTCTGTAAAGACAGTTAACATTTCCGCTATCCACCATGGAAATAAGCATAAACAACGTTGGAAGCACAAACGGCGTTGTGTTTGGGTTCATGACATCATCCGTTGCCGCACACAGCTTGGTGAATCTCACCGACTTCTCCAGGAAGTGCATGTGGAATACTCCCGCTACTTCAGGCTAACCAATAGCCCGTTTGATGACCTGTAGGGTCGGGTCGGTGCCAGCATCTCTCGGTTAGACACCAACTAACTTATAGGCGTTGACTCTCAGCTGTGCCTGTGTGTCTCTGGTGAGAGGCTGTTTCATAAAGTATATACACGCTTGGGGAGCAGTGCAGCGGTGATGACGAGCAGAGTTTCTAAACGTAGTATTTATAATATAAAACTTGACGAAAAAGTTTTCCTGTCGAGTCCATTGAAAATGTTCTTCCTCTGCAACCATTCGCGTCTGCATTGACTTTGCATGGAATCTAGTCGGGCAAAAAAAATTGATAGTCATCTAAGGTTACCTTTTCTATAGAACAGGGATTTACCTTATTTAAAAAAAAAACCCGTAAATAGCCTCATGTAATTTATTTTATTTACACACACATGATGTATCATGTATACCATTATTAAAAAGAAAATAGCGGTAATCCGGAAAGTCTGCTAAAATGAACCACCATCGTGCTCTACACACATGATGTATCATGTATACCATTAATAAAAAAAACAGTGGTAATACAGTGGTAAGTGGTAATAAGTCTGCTAAAATGAACCACCATCGTGCTGTTTGAGTTACTTTTCCATGAAGCCCATACGTCACAAACGTCAATCACTGAAGACATTTTCATTCACATCTGTTAGAAAAACCTTACTTACACACAAGAAACAATTTAAAAAGTCGGGTATTGTATCCATGATGTCCAACTGTTTAAGATCAAATGTGTTGAAAAAATGAATATAGAAGCTGAAGGCTGAAGATCACAGGGACCAACCACATCACTTGGTGATGGACAGAGAAGACAATGGTATTAAGGAACAACCCTGTTTCTCTTCATTTGCTATAATACAATGTTCAACTATGACCAGCTCCAACTCCACTAGACAAGCCTGAACATCTGGAGAACATCTGAAACCATTGATGAGAGTCTTTGGAGCAGAGTAGGATGGCCGTCTGACCCATGTCAGACAATTTAATGCAATGATTGGCCACTGCCTTTGAGGGTTGGGCAAAGGATACACTGCTCTCATTAGCATTTTACATAATTACCAGTTTGTTCACCATTTTTGTCTGTTTTATTTTTTGTTATAACTTGGTTTTGAATGACATTAAGTGTTTTTGTATTTTCAGCATGGTTCGTTACCCTCCAGTGATTTAAAATGACACACACCTCTTTATTCATATAATGTCCTTTTTTCTAGCACTTTCAAACTGGTCACTCCCATAATTATGACAAATAGTTGACTTGAAGACCATGGGTGGTGAATGAAAATACAAGATTCAAATGACACGTGTTTTTAAGTGAACATAACACCAGTGCACCTGATTATTGGTGAGGATCTCAGTTAGATAATATAAATAGTTCCAAATAAATGCAGTGCTTGTTCCTGTTTTAAGTAGTGTTTGTTAAAACTATTGTGACCAGCTGATTTACTAAGTCTTTTAAAGAAAATAAAAATATGTTTGTGAGCTGTATATATAAATTGACACACCGGGTGGAGAAATCCCAAATTATTGCTAGATCGATTAACACATTGAGAGTTACAGAGCATTACCATGAGCCACAACAGTGCTATCAACTTGTTATCATCATCCACACTCACCAATAAAATCTATTACTCACAATTACTCTCACTCACATCCCTTCCACCTCCACCACTTCCTCACTCTTTATTTGTCATCATCTATATGTGTTTTTGAAGTCACTTAAATCACAGCTTCACTCACTCCCCCCCACCTCCCTCCCTCTTCCCACCTTCGTCCTACCATCTTTCTCATCATATCTGCTCTCTAACTGTGTACAACGCTATACAGGGGGCTCATGGGTTAGACGGCAGACCGGGTCCAGTGGTGAGTGGCACAAGTCCCGTTCCGGCCCCCCTTTCCCTTCCCCTCCTCTTCCTCCACCTCCCTGCTACAGCTTGCTTGATATATGCCATGTCTGCCTGTCATATCTGCTTGCCTTCGTTCTTTCCATGCTTGTCATGTCTCAATTCCTTCCTAAAGGACAGCGCGGTTCAGGGTTGGGTTCTGAGGATGCACTAGCATAAAATAGTGTCCGATATGTAACTGCAAATGTCACTAAAGAAATGCCAAGAAAATGCGTGAAAGAAACAGTAATGTCATCTGACATCTCTACAGTTGTATATAAAAACAAATCCGTTCCATACAGATTAATGTGGTTCTTATAAAAATGTTTGTTTATGAGAAAAAAATGATTAGATATGCCGGACAAAACTAGACTGAAAAGCGCACTGTTAGTCAGACCGTAGAGCGATGAAATTAATAATCAAAGAAAATTTCAAAACAATTCAATTATTTTGTATAAGCCAAAATCACAAATTTTCCTCAGAGGACAATCTGTACACATGCTGCAATCTGTGGCATCAACTTTCACATCAACTAGCCAATGTATCCTCATACAATGGTTCCCACTCATCTTACTCTGTATTATGAAGGTCTGGCAACACAAGCCACTCATTACATGGACACAACTTTTAAAAATGTCAAAACTTGTTCACATTTAGGAAATTATTGTAACAAGTAAATTATTACGTGACCAATATGTCACGGCTCAGTAAGAATTAAATCTAAATTGACCACTGGCTTTAAACGGGACACAAACAGCGGCTTCCCCGTTGAAAGTCTGGTGTTTCTAGACCCACTCAGGCACCAGCCTTGTCCCTGCACATAGTTTGATGCTGTATTCGCACTTCTTCTCAAATAAGTGGATCACATTCAAATGGATTGTGTCTGATATATAAGAGCAATGCCAAACCAAACATGCCATAAACCAATGCCAAACATCTTATTCTGCCGTTGATTCTTGTTTGGTGGATTCTAAAGACATAGACAAGACATATTGGCAATTTAACAATTTATTATGTTTAATAAATAGGAGCCTCAGAACTGTGAACCACACACAGCCAAAACAGCCTGGCCCTTCTTCCTCATGCTGGTCACCAGCATATATACACACGGGTGTAGGATGGCATCCCATTCTTCAGAAGCATTTGTCCCACCTTACCAACGTAGTTGTCTTAGTCACTCTGGCATGTAGGGCTTTCACAGACTTATTCCAATGTTCAATAGGGTTGAATCCACCAAATAAGAATCAATGACAGAATAAGGTATAAGATGGATTGCCAAGAAGCATTTTTACAACAAAGGAATAATTTACGAAACACAAATTTCCTTACTTTCTGTGCTATTTGTTTATTATTCTGGATGACATTATTTACATATATAATATTATATCCTTAATATTACTATGTGTATAACTTTTTACAGTTTGCGCACCATGCATTTTTTGTTTTTACACGTTCTTACTCCAAGATAACAAAATAAGCATTTTGTAGTTATGAAATACATTTTTAATACCTTCTAAACAATTCATGAGCAACCATGGGCACTCCTGGTTTGTAGTGTTAGTTAACTATTGGCTGCTCACCACTGAAGTCAAATGTTGCATAGTGCTGTTTTGAATTCAATCTTGTCTGATATCAAACATTGGTGTATATCCTCAGTCCTCAACCCTGCCTCAATGGCTCCATGCCTAATGCTCTTGTATCAGTAGTGGGCTGCAAAGTTGCCATTTCTAAGATCTATTGTAAAGGAGCATGTACATATGCAGATGCTGCATGTTGACAAATGATCCAGTACATTTGGATCGCTGTACTCTGTACAGGCACTGCACATTCTGGATATGCCTTAAATGCAAGATCTTCCTCTTAAGCCACTGAGACAGATGACAGCAGCTGTTAATGTTTTGTTTATTTTCCCCTTAGTTTTTACCAGTGTACCAGTACCGCAATAGTCAACAAGCTTGGCTTGTCAGAATGGGACATTATGTCCCAGCCTGTTTCTGTCACTCCAGAATACTACAATATGTATCTTTATGATCAATACGTTTTATCTTTTGTGAGATACATTCATTTCCACCACAAAGTTTGTTGATTTACTGATTTGAAGCAGATTGTGATGATACCTCCTCTAGAACTTTCCCTATTCTTTTTTGAAGGGTCTAATAGGACCATCAGGTGTGTCAGGGCCAGCAGGACCAAAGGGGGAGAGAGTGAGTATCTTTGTATTTTTTCTGTTTCAATTCCAATAAATATAGTCTCCAAAGAATATAAATTCAAAATGTTCTCTCGTTGCTTCAGGGTGAAACAGGGAATGCTGGATTGCCAGGACCAAATGGGCCTCAAGGCATCCCTGTAAGTCTCAAATTCCATTTTAAATATCCAACACAACAGGCAGCATATTTTAGCTCACTGAAAGCAGCCTGCATGTCACAAAAGGAAATCTTTACAATAGCTGGGTTTTTCACATGGGTGAGGTTTGACATTAGGGCTTTGTCACAATTTTTTATGGGTTTTTAGTCTAAATGCCTCAAATTCATCAAAGGGGGATTGGGGTTAGGACTTTTTCAAACATCTATCCAATGTTTGTCTTCTTACCCAGATTAATTAATTATCACTTTGATTTCTGTGCCAATATATACCTAATGTATAGGTTCAGCTAAATGAAATGTACAGGTAAAATGAATGAAATACAGTGTTCTTTGGTTAAGGGGAATTAATTACCATTTATACATCAAGTAGCTGGTACATGATGTCCTATATGTAATAATAGAACATTTTGTACCTTGAATACCTTCAACAAAGACCTTTCCAATGACTTAGTTTATGAAATACACCCTGTCAAAAACTAAACTAAAACACTTCAGAGTTTAGGGCTATGATTATTCTTCACCACAGCCACACACTATTTCCGCTGCACACAGTTTAAAACATTCATCTTGGCCCTATCTGTTTGAAAATACTCCAAATACAACTCCTAAATATGTTATTCAATGAGTCCAGAAAATGTTTGCACGGAGGTGGTCATGTAAATTTCTCTCAGCAAAGAAAAAGGCTAACAAAGAAAACGACACACTGAATTTCTAGCCAGGATGACGCGGAAGACAATGATGTATTATTTCTCTCAGACAAACCTTGCAGAAACCAGTGCAAAACATTTCATACTCTAGCCATTTTGGCTTCTCAGTGGCTAAGAGATCTGTTGCTCTTTTCCACGGGGGTTTAGATTAAAAAAAGTGGTTGAAACAGGCAAATTGGCCTGCCACAGGACTTCCTGTTTCTCTGCCTGCCCTAGTATAGTGTATGTTCCCTTTCCATGTGTACTGTCCTCACACTTGGCTATAACGTAGAGGAGTTTTTAGCCTACTATGTCCATGTTTCATGGGGTGAATAAAGCTGTTAGTGTTTTTTTATAGGCAATGCTCAAAATTCAAAGGTTTTTCTGTTTGTTATATTGATTTATTTCTTCACCAGTAATATATAAAATCATTTGAGAACACTCACAGCTGAATCACAGAAATTTTTGTGACAATCTGAGATAGCGTTTAGGAGAAATTGCTAACAGCGTGTCTTTTACAAAATTAAAAATGGCGCATTGCATACCATGATTGACTTTTTTGTAGAGCATGTCCAAGAGCACATTTGTGCCAAATTTCGGGGGGGAAACTGGCCTAGTATGGTACTATAGGGGGCGCTATGGGGACATTTCTTGATACCCACATGCAAGACCCCCAAATTATCAAATTTTTCACCAGTTCTGATATGAATGCCAAATTTAACAACTTTTTGAATATGATAAAGACCTCAAAAAGGGAAAATTCCTTTGAGAAAATAATAATAATTCCATGAAATGCAATAAGTTCCTCTCAGACTAGTCGTAGCGAGGACCCTAATAAACAAACAGGGGGAAACACGTGGCATAACACAACACACAGCGATCACAATGCAAAATGTCTCTTAGAACCCAGGGATCATAACAATGAGCTACTATGAATTACAAACATTTTATTATCGGTTACAACAATCTCACCATGAGCTACAACAATCTTACTATGAGTTACAAAAATCTCACCATGGGTTACAACAATCTAACTAGCTTACAAAAATCTCACTATGTGCATGTAATCTTTCATAAACACATATATTTATATTTCATAAAAGTGCACAGCAAAACCAATTTTTTTGTTGCATCTTTTTGCAGGGTTTAGTTGGACCACAAGGACTGAAAGGCAACCGGGTAAGATGTACCCTATATTTTTTTGCTAGTTGTAGAATTAAAAGAACCAAAGGCATTTATCTTTACAATGTACACATATTAGTATTCATTTAACCAGATCACTTCAATGTATTTCTCATAACATTCACCAAATTAATGAAACTCTTCATTAGTGATGTTGAAACGGGCCATCCTGGTATTCGCGTGTAAAACATTATTTTACCTTTGCCATTATTTTTGCAACTGCCTCTTTGGGCCATAATAGGTCACACGGTAAATACTGGGATGACTTCAAAGACGTTCTCAGGGAGTAGAAGAAGATTAAAGAGCTGAAAATCAAAAGCTTGGGTTTGCTCTTAGATATCAAGCATGAAAAGGAAGCCAGATGAGTCAGATTGTTTGCTCTGATTATTTTTTATGAATCTCACTAAACATAAAGATTGAAATGGCTGTGTCCAAAATTGTAATTAATTATATAATTAATTAGTATCACCAAATCTAAAGTTTACTACAATATATTGTCAGACAGACTAAAATATTCATAGATGTTTAGGTATTGGGTTCAATTTATTGCATTTTAATTTTTTCAATTTCAATTCAGATTATTTTATTTTTATTTCACATTTTTCTCAGAGGGCTTTGTCAAAGAAACCGTAGGGAGAGCAACAGTAGAACTTCCCTCTCAGGATGGACAGAATGTGGTAAATATCATGTGTACAGAATGAAAAAGTTAAAGATTTACAATATGCTCAATGCATACGGAAATTATTCATAAATTGAGAGTAGTAAACAGAATAATAATGAAATAACTAGAAAATTCCGTAGTAATTTTAAGATTGTGGCCTAGCCTGCCATTAATAGTAAAAACAGCAGCAGCAGATATAGAAGATCAACATCGATAATACAAGTAGTACTGGTGTCAGCCTGAAGAATTAAAGCTGTGCAGAGCTTCCTAAGGTCCATGTTACTGTGAGCTTGTCGGGTTTTGTAACATTGTGCCAACAAAGACACCAAAATCTTTACCCAGAAGTACTGACTAGTTGGATGCATTTTTCAATTTTGAGCTGCAGAAAGAAATAGGCTAGCTCATCACCCATGCTTCCAGGTTTTTATTTAACCCAATCATATCCAGACTCCAGCTCTCTAGATTATGGGATTGATATCAGTCTTTTTAAACTCAGAAATAAAGCAAATACACATTTTTACAAACATAAAACATTTATTTGAATTGCATTAAATATGAAAAGAGTCCTGCAAAATGCTTCTGTGTAAAACCAGTAATTCATCTCCACATTTCACTGTTTAATTTCCACGTTCCCTTCCCATAAAAAGTTTGTTTCCTTCCCATTAACATGTGATCTTTTTAATATTTTCACTCCCATCTCTGCACATTTCATAAGCCCTCTCAGCACATTCAACGTACTCTTATTTTCAATATACTGTAACAGAAACCAGAAGAATATGCTTCTATCAGACCTGAATGCAACGGAGACGGGGATCGGGGGGCGGGGGTTGAATGTGCTGAAGTAAAAGCTATGGGATAGTGTTGGTGTTTTTACTCTTTGTCCTGTCTTCCTTTGTTTCCGCAGGTCTTCCTCTCCCCTTTTCCTTCCCTCCACCTTGCTCTGTGGCCTGTGGCTCTTTTTATTGCCGGGGTTGCCCTCTCTCCCTCTCACAAAACCTGGCCTCCTGCTCCTCCTCTTGCTGCAATCTAATGTGTTGTCCTCAGTTAATCTTCACTTACAAATCTTCCTTCTACTCCTACTTACCAAAAACCCCTCCTTGCAAGTCTCCATATAGCCCCTTCCACCCCTGACCACTACCCACAATTTGCGAGCAGTGTACTCCGATCTATGGTACCATAAAAAAAGAGTTAGGTGAGATTTCACACTGAACCTTTCAACGTGTAACCAGCACCTTTAAACTAGCTGGCCTTTCTGTAGCCCCCGGCATGGCTAGCAAATTACCAAAAGGTAATTTTCACTATACTAAAGAACAGCGCATTATCTCAAGTCTGAAGGTAAGCCTCAGCTTCAAGCAACATTCACAACTACTCCTTGCATTTCAGCCAAAAAGATGTGAACTGAAAACCTGAAGAAAGTCTCAAATATGTAGATTCCACCTGTGATGGTGATAATAAAAGGTCGGAGCTTTACCATTTGCAAATATCAATAAAGCTAAAACCCAATTTAAAATAGTTTAGTTTCTCCTATTTTTCTTTTGGGAAGTCTACTCTACGCAAGCCCTGCAAACTGAGGGCTACTTTTAGAGTTGACCGTAGACCAAACGAATTTCAAATAAAAATATCCGAAATGATCTGTAAATGTGTACAAAGAATACTATCAGCATATCACACATTTATTATTTGGAAAATGTGACCATCGGAATAAGGCTTAAGTCTGAATATTTAAATGCAATATGCTGTTCACACGACACAAATAAAATTCTTATTGTCAATAATGTAATTGTCCTTGTAAAGACAGTCACTGTGTATTCACCTGAAACATTACAGCATTTAACTTTGAGCAGTACTACAATCCAGCACTGTATGTGTCTGCATATGATATGGTATGCTGGTAGTGGCTAATGGAATTCTTAACCCAATACATCCAGTTATTTTTACTAACTTTTTGTCTTCAGACACATTTTGATGCACTCATAGCCCATCATTTATTTCAGGCAATGTAAATATGAGTCAAAATATATGCTTATTCAGAAAACAATCTGGCCAGTTGCTAATATGTTAGAGCTCCCACTAAATCTCTTAAGATAGTCTGTGGACCTTATGTCCCGTGTCGCTCTCATTATTCTTTAGTTTTTATTTTGTGGAAATTATATTTCTCAATTTCAAATCTAATGTTTTGTTCAGTAAATTATCTTAAGTAACACACTTGTAAGTCTTCCAAAACCTACTTCACTGTAGTTGCAAAAGAAACCCGAAACCTGCTCATCAACTGCTTTGGGCTTTTAACCTTCTTCCCTCTAACTCCCTCTACTTACCTTCCTTTTCTTCTAAATGTGCATAAGTTATATTATCTTTGTAAAATAGCTAAAATAATACTATGCACTGTTAGTAAATTAAGATAACTTGTTTTTTCTCAATACCTGAAATGAAAGCTTAAAAACATTTTTTTGCTTCACATGTGGCTTAATGAAAGGGGACTAAAGTTTTGTCTTTTTTTAATACACTGTTGTTTGCAGGGAGAGAGGGGCAAGAAAGGCAACAGGGGGGCCAAAGGGGATAAGGGAGACCAAGGAGCACCTGGATTAGATGCCCCCTGTCCGTTGGTATGTCAGCGGTCTGATGTGTAACCAAGAGGCAAAAGGAAGTAGTTATAGCTTTGATTACAGCACAATACCATTTATCTTCAGTTTAGCTGAAGATTTGTATTCGGTAGACTGCTTTCTTCAGTGTTTCTAAATCAACCTCAGTGAGGGTTTGGTCCAAGTGTTCATTGCAGCCTGTTCGAGGGAAGAAGACATATCTGAAGGAATTGATGCCCTCCTGAATTTCAAAGGTTTTAACGGTTTTTGTAAGAGTGACAAATTTCTAGAATGGACCACAGGCCACAACTCAGCCTGGGGAACCACTTTCTTCCAGGAATGGGGCAGACAGGAACCAGGCTGCTACTGCAGATGAGCATCAACAGACGACAAAGCGTTGGAACAATACTTTACACCGAAACTTGACTCAAGTCCATTGATAGAACAAATTTAGCCTGTAGCAAAACCCTATATCATATTAATTTACATAAATAACTTGTTGTCGCATTGTACATCCGAAGGCTTTATAAACCTTTCAAAATCATCTCAGTGAGGCCAGTTCCTGCCCGTCCCAGGTTACCTGTATCCCATCACCCGGAGGACAAAAGTGGAGATGTTCTTGACGTCAAGTAGCGGAAGGGGTCCGTCCGTCCTCTGCTACCCTGGAGCTGCAAAACTGGTTTTTAAATGGTTGATTTCACAAACAGGGTTTCCGAGGCTTTAAAGGGGAGAAAGGTGAACCGGGCTTGCCAGGCCTGGACGGGCTGGATGCCCCTTGTCCTGTGGTATGGTGCCCTTTTTACCCTTCACTTAACGCAGCATGCCTCTAGCTATCCCTAACCAAACCCGTGGATATGTCCACTCAGATCTTGCACTTTAAATTTACAAAACAACATGCATGTTTGCATGGAGATTTAAACCTATTTATATGTAGTTGACTGACCTTATAATAACCCAAACTTTTCCAACTGACCTCCATTAGAACTAAAGTGAACAAGCTTTTTATTCTGATATCAAATACTTTTTAATTCAACCTCTCCATCACTACTAGTCAAGATTTCTTTGTTAACATCACATGCGGATATATGATGACTAATCATATATGACTAATATTAACAAACGCAACCAGATATTAACATTGTTGTTGAAATATGGCTTTCTACATAACACCTTGTTTCCTACACCATCGCTTGCATTGAGCTCACATTTCCTACTTCTTCGGGGCATCAGAATACCACAGGGGGTGAAAAGCAGTACGGAACTAGATTTCTATCTTTTTCAAAGCAAGTGAGAGTATGTAATAACATTTCCTACAAGTTTACTCATTGCCAATGTTCCTTCTTCTGTTCCAACAACCTACATTTTTGATTCTTGCATTTCTTTTGGACACTGTTCAGAAGCTGTTACTAAATGCAAGGAATTCAGAAGTTACTGCCACTGCTAAGGGTTGGGACGTGTAAAGTTGAAGTTTGTCGCAACTACAACTGACTAAATATTATTTCCAACTGGTGTCACATTGTAGGACTTTTTGGAGATAAGATATTGTTAATCACAATGTCAATCCTCACGACATCTCCAAAGAAAAGCAACAACTAATTTAACAATATATAGTCTGCCTTTGCAAAGCTAATTGAAAAAAAGTTAATCTTCAACATGCTTTATACATATGGTAATGGAGAAACGTCTCTTCAATTTCTGAATTGTATCTTCACAGGTAAGGTTATGTCATTCCCATTTCTTTGTTAATGCAAGCATTGCTCCTCTGGATTATTACCAAAATAAATGAAATCATGTTTCAAAATAATTTTATTCTATTGCATACAACCGGCAGCCTGTTACTAACTGGAAATGTATTTTAAAGGCACCATTAATTTCTTTAGAAAGTGTTAAGCTTCAGGCAGCATTTGAACAACCGTACAATCCTCTTGCTGTGTTATTAGCAGCAGCACTGTTGTGTCATGAAGAAGCCCTTCTCATTTGTTTGGTTATGATCTCATCTGGTTTTGGTATCTATACTCAAAATGATGAATTCTTAAAATGTTGTCCTTTACATCGTTGAGAAGTTGGGAGATCCTCTGGATCTGGAAGTATTATTAACAACTGATTATTTTAATGACAGCGGCGATGTTCGTTTACATTGAAACATACTATAGATAGACAAATACTCTTGCATAGTTAGATTACTTAACAATTTTGCTACTTTTTTCCATTAAGAGACCATGCTACACATTGTTGATTTGTTCAGCAAAAACTATCAAGTTTTTTTCATAACCAAAACAAGAGCATAAACTTCATTAAAGTTTATGTAAGAAAATTAATTATTTCCGGTTCCCTGTCTTTGGAGATACTGTACTACCTTTGTTTATTGTCAGAAAGTGCCAGTTTTAAAATTACAGTTAATTAAGTTAGTTAATTAAACTTGAAAAACCAAAATTAAGTATAGACAACAAAAAATCTGAAGCTACCAGCATATAACTGGGGAAAATAGTACAACTTCTAATTGTGACTAGGGCAACAAATCTGTGATGCATTATGTAGAAAAATTACTTTCACTGTAACCATAAAATTAGTACATTGTTTTCACTTCTCTTATTGTTTTTCTCAGGGAGATGATGGCTTACCTGTACCAGGATGTTGGAATAAAGTAAGTTGAAGATCTTGACACAATGTTTTAATGGTCTTCAGTGTAGCATCGCAAATACCGAATGCTAACATCATCAGGAACTAACATGCAAAATGTGGCCTTTGCTTTCTCTTTGCAGTGACAATAACTTTGGAATGGCTTGTGTGATTGTAAATAGGATATTTATTTTTTTATATTTTCCCAATTCTTTTATTTGTGCGGGATAAAAATGAAATCCTATAAAATATATGGCAGCATTTTGTACAGATGTTTTATTTGACTACGTATGACAGTGTTTATGTATTGGATTTTTATATCTCTGTATTTTAATATTGGATTTGATAAGTAAAGCATGATATTTGTGCAAAATGTGAAGTGGATAATGCTTATTAACTTGTATTATCTGGTGTGTTTTAATAGACCATGCTGCACTGAGTTGTGGGGCTGGAAAGATGTGTTGAAAAACTAACATGGAAAAACTGCATATACACACGTTTCAATTCAACTACATGTTCACATAGAAAGCTATTAAAAGTCTGCCCTTTGAACTTTTGGTCATATGTCATGATGAACATGCAGACTAAAATGATCTTATTTAGGGCTATCTCGTTAATGATAGATTTTTATATCTGGTAACGATGTTCCTCTAGGATCTGACAGCTGTGAATGACACAATAACTGCATTTGAAGGTCACAACAAATTATAATGCAAACCGGATTATTTACAATTAAAAGACTGACCCTCAGAACATTTTTTTGGTAATAATGTATTTTATGTATAATTTACACAACTGTAATTTTGGAACTGTTATTAACAAAAAGTTATCACACTGTTACAGAGATAACTATAAACATGGCTTGAACTTTGCTAAATACTTTGAAAGACGTGAAAATAAAATAAAGGTATAACTTCCAAATTCAAGAATAGGTTGGGGAAAAAGTTAAAGCACTTTTACTACCATGCCGTGAATGGGATTTTTTTAAAGAAAAAAATGTGGAAAATGAAAATCATTACGCGCATCCGAACATTCGTGTTCACTCACTTGAAAAAGTGTGATCCTTGTGGCAAAAATCCTTTCAGTTTGTCTCCTTATCGCCGCCTGGCTCGGATTACTGCTGCCATTTGACCAGTCATATGCGAGGAACCCTGCATTCTGGTTTACACCTGCAAAATGGTGGCACGCTTGCACAGGCGGTTTCTGTACATACTGATACGGATCACATAATGAGTCGCACTTTACGCATCCCCTCCCATCTCTTTATGGGAAATTCACACTTTCCCCTTGACCCTCCCGTGAATGCATATGCATGACAAGGAAAAGCACAATTTACCATTTTCCGTTCCCGCAACAGGCAGTCTGCGTGAACTTTTACCTCAGTGCGGCATGTTTGTATATACCTCACCATGCCTTTACGCGCGCATTGCAAAACAAATACGCCTGAAGTAAGGGCAAAAGTCTTATTACATGAGGCCCTAATTCCAACCCATCCACTTTTGTATCAGATGGTCGGAGTGGCTGGGTTCAAATATAACACAATCCCTCCTGACTCCAAAAATTACAGAAACCATTATAGTGCAGACACGATCAATGATTCTACTGAAGCGTTCTATCAGGCTCGTAAAAGTGTCAGTTTCCCCTCGTTATGGTTTTTCAAAGTAAAACTCTTCTGTCATAGATTTCAACTTAGATTTAGACAAATGTTTTTGGTTGGGTTTTTGAAGTTACAGTGATCTGGGTTCAAATGAATACACAGAATTTACATGACTAACTCAGATTTTTTTTAAACTTGTTTTTCTAAACCGATTAAACTGTATTCCTATGTATTTTTTAAGGGTCAACATCCTTTTCAACTGGCAAAGAAGTAGGGCTGCAAGAGAGAGAGTCTTCATGACCCTACAGGTTTTTATCCAAACCTGGAGTTGGCATTTCATTGTTTTTTCCAGTAGGCTGGACAAAGGGCCAGTACCGCTGGAAGATCGGGTAGCTGTGGTGACCACATGAATTAACAAGGCTGGAAAGTAGAGATATTTCACAGATCTTTAGTCAGTCGTTGAAGGTTCTCCCCGATCACAGCCACAGGGAGATATTTGCAACTACTGATGTGTTTTTCCAAATGCATACTTTGATCTATTAAACTCCTTTTAATAGCGAGGCATGGACACTTTAGCACCTGCTATTCGATGTGACATCAAAACTGTGACTGTGATAGAATTCAGGGCAGCTCACATGCAGGTAGATGCCATCTATTTCCGAGAAAGAGACCCTCTTGATGATTCCTTCTAGATATTATCTAATTATCTGACCTTTCAAAACACCCTTTACAAGCAGCTATGGCATTTTGTTTAAAAGATTGTGCTGTACACGAAATGGCAATATCAGACAACATGCCTTGTCACATATATTATGTTATTTATTTATGTGTTTATTAATGTGCTAAAAGACACCAGGATTTAATGCTATAATTGTAAAAAGTATTGTACAAAAGAAGACAAAGGGTTGTATGTATAAAATTACTCAGTCTTTGTAAATAGATGCATTGAAGAAACATGATTTCCAGATTATGCATAAAAGGGAAATATTCATATGCTGATTATGTACAGTTGACATTTATTAAAGTAAGATAAGATTTTCATATATTTATGCCCAACATCACATACAATAAAATATGTTGCATGTTAGCAGTATTTATTAATTAAATATGAATATGTAATATATTAATATTACATATGCATATTTAGTCAAAAAGAAGAATACACAACAGATTTAAACTGCTGCAACTGTATATTCAGATAATCTAAAGAGTGCTCTTTGTCAGTGTGTCACACTTTCCTGTTTCATTGAAAATACAAAGTACAGAAGCATTCCTTATGTCATATTGACAGCTGCCTTGCAAAAAGACCTGTTTTTTAAATTTTTGTTGTCTTTCTAGTTTTTGAATTGAGTTTGAAATTGAAAAAAATCCAATGCAGTTCTATTGTTTCAAAAACTATACCATGAGTCGGTAAAGTATCTATGTTCAACGTTAAATCTTATTCTTATTTAAATCTTATTAAATCTAAGAAATAGCCTTAACTGCGCTTTATTTATGTAATTGCTCCCTGGGTAAAATGTAAAAACCATGGGTTAAAAATGCAATGTAAGTCACTTTGGGTAAAAGCTTCAGCTAAATGACATGTAATTAATGTAATAATTGATCATTTTCCCTTTAACAAAAACACTTTCAGGTAGAAAGAGTAAAGAGGGCTGAGGGTTGAAGTACTGCAACTTCAGAAATCCTGACAAAAAATACTAAATACAAGCAAAGAAAAAAAAATCTATTTGTGTTTTGTTTAATTGAATCTGCCTTTGAGGTGGATAGTGTAACTCATTTTATGATACATCTAGTGATTTTCCGTTTGTGTTCTCAAGTTGCAATGCCTGTCACGGTGTGGTTCACTTCCTGTTGTATTTTGTAGTTTTCTGCCACTCGTGTCGCCGGGTAACTTCACTTCCTGCCTTGTCATGTCATCCCCTGTGATCGTCTAATAGGTTCCACCTGTGTCCAATCACCTGCACCTCCCTAGTGTATTTAAGCCATGTGTGTCTGTTGTCACTTGTCGCGTCATTGTCTTTTGCCACGCATGTCCTTGTCTTTCGTCGTGGACGTTCGTAGTTTCTGTCTCCCGTTTTTCCCCTGGTTCCTGTGTGTTTATGCCTTTTTGACAATTAAAGTCCCTTTTGTTTTCGAACTCTGCGTCTGAGTCCTACCTCCCCGCAATCCCAGACAGAATCGCCGCCGGACGACCACGAAATGGCCTCCTCCTCTGGGGACCATGTGGTGGGCGGCGGATGGTGACCCAGATGCCTACTGAGGGCTCCAGAAGGGGAGACGGAGTATTACAGGTACCCAGCTGGAACCCCCGGGAGGACCTTTCCCCCATTACGAGCAGCCCGCTGGAGACTGCGTGGACCGCCCATTGCCAGACGGGTTACCCTGAACTCGTCCAGGGGAAAAAACTCTGCTGAGTCCTTCCTCGGGGCGCGTCATTCTGTCTGGGGTTGCGGGGAGGTAGGACTCAGACCCGAGCTCGAAAACAAATG